CAGAGATCAGTTTGTCTCAAGGAATGCATTTAAAAGACATTTTAATGTAACTTAAACGACAAATTCTAAAAAGTTAAAATATAACGGAATAACCATTTCTTCTCGTATCAACATGTTATCATATGGAAGTATATCAGGTTGAATTTCTGAGCGGTTTGCAAAATTTAGCAAAAACTGACACTACATTATATGTATTCAGGGATCACAACATAATTTATACAAATTGATGTAATAGGCGGAACCTTATTAAAAACCTCTCTGCATAATACAAATAAAGTAAAGAAGTGAAGCTAAAAAATACGAGTAGTAATCTGTTTGATTTAGACTGTTTATTATATATTCAAATGCTCAAAGATTTCCAACACACAGTACAACGGATGATACAGAAGTTCTTCAACTTTGCTGTTAAAAAGTTGTGTCGACTGATACACCACAAACTTCAGGTTTAATAGTCTGCCATGGTAAAGGTAGTCTAAGCAAAGTTCTGATTCTGTGGCCAACTTATTGTATAAGATAGACCACCATGCGGCGGTCTGTATTTAGCCTATTATTTCAGAAATATGCTCAGTTGCAAGAAGACTATTACACGATGAAAGACCATTGTTTGGAGCAGGACCATACTTTGGAGGAACTAGGTGCTCAACTTCGAGATTCAAAATTGGAAATCTCCGATTTGAAAGAGGAGATCAACAAGAACAGACCCGATGGTGCTTGGGTAAAGGACAATACCGCCTTGGAGTGTAAAGCGTGCAATAAGGAGTTCAATTTAACCAGGCGAAGGGTAAGTGTATTTGAATAGAAAACTTTTCGTCGGCGATAAAATTATTTCACTAATTGGACACGATTCGATAAAAAAATGTTCTGTTAAAATTCTTGCTACTACTGGAAATCATTCTGACAAGAAAACTTCACACGAGTTTATATTCGATCTCGTCGGGTGTACTAAACAATATAGTTTGAAGAAATCAACTTCGCAAGACTAATAATAAAAAAATATAAATAAAAAATAAATATCCCGAACGAGAGCAGTCTATCTGGGCGGGCAAATTAAAGAAAATAGAGTGGTGAATCAACTTTACAAGATATTTGCCAGTCATTTCAAACGAGTATTACATTCGATGTTGTCGGGTGGATTATAAGTATAGTCTGCTTTAGAACTGATAAATAGTGATATTAAAAAATTATGAATTGGTTAAATGTTAATAAACTTAAATTGAACACCAATAAAACAAAATGTATGCCAATAGGGAAACATTTAGGTGACAATACAATTAGGCTCATGATTAATGATGAAAAAATTGAATTAGTCGAATCATTTAAATATCTGGGTATATATGTGGATAGCAAACTACTGTTTCACGAACATTATGAATACATTATTTCAAAAATATCAAAAAAGATAAATTACTTCTATAGAGTTTCCCATAATCTTAGTATGTATTCCAAAAAAATTGTGTATAACACTATAATTCTTCCCCATTTTTTATGAACAATAGTTCAACCATCTTGTTTACAGCAAATGAAAACATATTTTCAGTTCTACAAAATAAAGCTATGAGAATCATTTTAAATAAAAACAAATATGCTGGGATTAAGTCTAAGTTAGAAGAAATACAGTGGTTGAATGTGAAAAATAGCATAGTTCTCATTTTCATATTCAAATTAAAAAATCATTTATTACCACCACATTCAGAAAACTTCACAAAATTAATTAGTCATTAGCATAACTACGAAACTAGAGGCAGTATAGATTCTCATCTGCAAAATTGTAATAGTAGAAGAACTAGCAAATTCGTAATTCAAAAGGGACTATTTTTTTAATAGTAATTTCATGCAAATAACATAGCAATTATAATAAACTGATACGACTAAAAAAAAACTGTATAATATAAATGTAATATGCACATTAATTTTGGATCGTAGACTAGCAATGAAGAAAAGATGTGATGGTGTTTTATAAATTTCGTCATGTTTATATTAGTTTTCAAAAGCCACGCGTATACATCTATTTTTAATAATGATATTCAGTTTTTTTTAATATTATATAATATAAATTGAATAATGATATTAAACAATGTTCGAATTTAAAAATGTTTAAGGTGAAATTAAAAAATCACTTTATGAATACTCAAAATGCATAGTGATCTAATTTTAATAGACAGGAATATAACATTACAGAAAATGGTTTGAAGAAAAATGTATAAGCGAATAATTATACAAAATTGACTTTGTAGCATTAATGCTAAATAAATCTTCAACAAACAAAAAACAAAATTAATTTCACAATTATTTTGCAAACACCCCGAACGAGAGGTCAGTCGAATTAAAGGAAATATTATAGTGAAATCAAGATATTTGGAAAACACATAAAACGGGAGTTGTCGATATCGTCGGGGATGAATTAAAGAATATAATCTAGTGAGATAAATTGCGCGAGTTTATTTGGCATGAACTTCGGAAGAAGCTGACATCGTCTGTTAAAGGTAGTCTGTTGAAATTAACTTCACAAGTTTATTAGCTCCGAAGGGGAGTGGTCGCTGTGGTTGGGCAGATTAGCAGATAAGAGAAAATAGTCTGATGAAATCAGTTTTGCATATTATTTGGCAGATGCGTCAGATGGAGCTAGTCACTGTCATCGGACGGATTAAAGGAAATAGTCCAGTGAAATTAATTTCGCAGGATTATTCGGAAAACACATGGTAGTACTCGATGTCGTCGGGTGATAGAGGATATATGAAATTAACTTCTCAAGTTTATTTGGTTTATTAGTATGGTTTTCTCTTTGTCACAGCACCACTGTCGTAACTGCGGCGAGATCTTCTGCAATTCCTGCTCCGACAACTTTGTACCTCTGCCATCATCGGCGAAACCAGTGCGGGTGTGCGATAGTTGTAACATTTTAATATTAGGAAGAACAACTGTGATGAGTTAGTTTGTAAGATTAACGTGTATTTATTCTTTATACCAGTCACGCTTTATACTGTTATATTTACAAGTACAATGATGTTGGCAATTAATATATTTTATTATTGTATAAAAGGAAAGCCACATGCAGGAGAGGGATATATAGGGATGTGAGTCGTCAGAGCATGATCTAATGGGTTGTTAAAAAGATGTCTTTGTGACCTTATATATCCCGCGGCCTGTATATGGTTACTTATTCCGCAATATTCATGCCCTTCTACATTTTAGGAGGGTTATCGTTCAGAGAGTTGGAAGTCAGGCGAATACGTCACCACAAGAGTGCTTCTCTAATTTGCTTTATCAAGAAACAAGGATTCCCCATCTCATTCGAGAGTTCGAGGTTACTGAATTTTCAAAATTAGTCTATTCATTGTGAAGCGTGTGGTAGCGAGGCATTTGCAGCGCCATCTATTAGTTAGATGAAACAAAATAGCTGCTTGCGTACGGTGATATTGTTGAAAAAAGTACGTCTCATTTGTTGCCTTCATCTGCTTAGTTCACCCGGAAATTATTCTCTTGTACAGATTGACTATTGCTAAATTATGGAATACATTGGGCTGGCGTAATGTAATTTATTTTGTAAAGTTTGTTTGAAAGAGTGATAATATATAGTTCTGCTTGTATATTATAGATGGCGCCTCAGTGTTTTTAGAGTTTGCAGCGCCACCCATTAGACAGTAACGGAGACTATAAGTATCAACTTCTCGACGGCTGTGAAGAAGCATGTTTTTGCACTCGTTATCTGTATTAATCAATCATATTAGACCAAAATACCCTTGGTTTGCGAAATAATTGTAAAGTCTGGTTTTATTGATGCAAGTTGTTCAAGGGGGTATTTAATTCATGGACGCTTAAACTGGGTACACCAATTTTTGTAGGAAAACTTTTTATTCGACAAAAAAGAATGAGAAAACGTGTTTTTTGGGATTCAATCGAAAGTGTTGGCAGGAACGAAAAAACTCTTCAAATAAGATTTTTAGGTATTTGAGGGACCTACTGAATGAGACCACACGTAAAAAGATCCGACTAATAGTAAAAAAGTTCAGGCCGAAAACCGAGGAAGATGCAGGTTTTAGCACTTAGTTTCACGCAGATACTTGAAATTGTTCAAATTCGTTGGATTTATACTTCTAAATAACAACAAAATTGGAGTAGATTGGTCAAGTAGTTTTTGAATTTCAAATTGTTTATCCCCTTCGTTTTTCGGAATGGTTTGTGATTCATGACGGCAATGTAAACTAGTGTATTTCGCTATAAAATGCCCTTGTAACGAACCCTGTATATTGCTCGGTAAACTAGTAGTGATGGCCGGAGGACAGGTGTTTTGGAATAACCAACTAGATCTCAAAAACTACTTGACCAATCGACTCCAATTTTGTTGTAAGTATGAAGCTTACGGATTTGAAGAATTTCGAGTAGCTGCGTGAAATTATCATCGCATTAGCAACAAGAACGTGCATTTTGTCTCGGTTTTCGGCCAGAACTTTTTTACTCTTGGTCGGATCTTTTTACATGTGGTCTCATTATGTAGGTCTAATAAATACCTAAAAATCGTGAAGAGTTTTTTGGTTTTTCGCCACACTTTCGATTGAATCCCAAAAAACACGTTTTCTCATTATTTCTTTTACCACAAAAATTGGTGTACCCATTTTATGCGTCCATGTTTTAAATACCCCCTTGAACGACTTGCAGCAATAAAACCAGTCTTTATAATAATAATTATTTCGGGGAAATTTGCTAATATGATTAGACTACAAGGTGTTAAGCCAACTCTAGAGTCCGTTTTCGCATTTTTACCTCATCATATTAGACATACCCAGATGCCGCTTTACACTCAGTTGCATGGGCGACTACTGCGTGAAATAGTGTTTTCCAACGCGATGTCAAAAATACGACAGTGCAACTTGAAAAGTCTTAATATTTGGCTGCTGGCTAGCGTTGGAAGGCACTACCGCAGTCTCGCCAGTGAGATGGGGGGGGGGGGATATAAGTAAACAAGAGGGGGGGAGGCTATATAGATAAACAGATATTTTTGTATATCAATCTTATAATTTTCAATACAAATTATAAACATGATTTAAAATACTGTACACATACAGAGCAAAAAGTATAAGATTCAATAAATTTTCGTTACCTTTGATATGGCATTTCCAGATATGGGTAAAAAATCTCATTAAATATAGCACACTTTATAGAGAACCTTATATAACTGCTTGTTAAGACAATAAAAATATTTATATAGCCGCCGTATCTTTTCATAGAAATATATATATACAATCTTACTTTTTACACTGACACTTTTTATTTTTAAAATAGATCATTTTTCTATAGACATTATTGTTCGTACGGATTAAGCTTAGTGTTTGTTCAATCCGTTTCCCAGAATACTGACCTTTCCACGAACTAATTTGATAAGGTACCTCTCGACGTCCATAAAACTTAACAAAAAAACAATATTGTGATAGTCATTTTTCAATTAACTTAAAATATATTGTATGAGCAACATTACTAGCAAAGTTTCAACTGAAAATGTTATTTTATGCAAAGGTCTAGTGCTCAAAGAACCCAAATTTCTTGGGACACTAACCTAGATCCTTATATTCCATTATCTAAAAAATGTTCCACAGTATCGTCTCTAAATTAAAAATAACACTTTAGTCTTCACAGAAGACATTATTTGGTGCCAGTGCTATAAAAATTTGTCTATGAAGTTCAACCACAAAATTTTTAGACAGAGTATTTCTTTACAGGAACTGGTTTTGTTTGCAACCAATTCACAAGCATGAACCAAACAATTATGATGCAGCCAATGTGTGTGCACAACATTCAGGAGACATATACATGATTTTTTGAAAATTCGTATGGTGAAATTGCGCCATTTTCATCATTGAATATATACCGCCTAAAAAGTTTTGTTTTGAACTCCTCACATCAGGATAGTCATATATTTAAGATTTTATTGTATCCAATCTTACAATAAAAATAAAAAAAATTTTAAACAATATACGTTCTATCAGTATCATTTCAGAGACTAAACATTAGAGATCAAATATCATTGCCACTTGTAAACATTATAGGAAATGATGTCACAAACGTTCTTTTATTTTTGTGTGTGTTCCTTTCAGATTGCACTATGCTCAGCAGATCAAATTGTGATACGCCAAAATCAAAATGGCCTTATGGACAGAAATCGCCCCAGTACCAAAATTATTTTATAAAATAGTACTTAAACTTCAGATAATTCTTAGTTCCAACTACAGATAACATTAAAATGTAATTTTCAATAATCTCAGGTATAAAAAGGTCTGCTAGATGAACTTAAACTGACAGTCATGTAAAATCAATTTGAATATGGCCCAAATTTCAAATTTTATCAAAGGTTAGCAATTATTTTGTACGATTTCATCCATCGGCAATTTTGGCTGTTACTCAAAACAGGTTTTCTTTCGATTTTCTACTCGGCAAAACGGTCGTCAACTGTAACTGAACACAAGGGCTAAGTACTCCACAAAACTTAAGTATAAGCACCTATGGTACTCTTATGTAGTACGGAATTTTGTGGAGAAACTTCGTCTAAAGCTAAGAAAATTATTGGCAAACGTCTAACGTAAGTAAAATACTGGGTATTTTAACCGAAAAAAAAAATAGAAATCTAAATATATGTATAATTATGTATATATAAAAATGTTAAAAATTATCATCACAAATAGCAAACATTAACTTAGTAGAGTAACCTAGGTAAAAAATTGCCGTCCCTGCGTTCGTCAAACATTGAGAATGTATTGGTAGAAACGGAATTTTCAAAAAACATTGTCATTTGAAGAAGCAGGGCAAAAATGAGATTGGTAAAGTGCCACTTAAAGATATATTTAAGTCTGTGGTTTTTAAATGAGGCAAACATATCGTATTGGCGGGGAACTTTCCAACTCGACTTTTTCATAATCACGTTAGTTGCATCCATAACACGAGTCATGAGATTGCAGAGCCGTAACCCGATGCAAATTTTGGTTAAACAGTTTTTTAAAGAAATTCACAAAAAATCTTTTCGGATCATTTGAACAAAAATGTCACTTTTTTCTAGTGATATTTTTCGAGTTATAATACGATGCAAAGTCAAAAAAGACCTTAAAATGACCGCCTAACAGTAGCGCGTTATTAACAATTAAAAAACAATGCTTTAAAATAAATGAAGGCTAAATTACTATTCCGCATGACTATTATGTAAAAAACGTTAAAAAACGACTTTTGAGTCTTCAAATAGTTCATTCCAGTTTGCGTGCTATGATCGCCGTTCACAACAAGTACAACACCTTGTGTTAACATTTTGTAGAAAGACCTACGAAATGTCAAAAAACCTACTTTTCAAGATACGTAATACCCGTGCCGGATCTTCTAGGGAAAGGTTTTGAGTTTAATTAGAGACTTGGAAACCTCAAAAATAGGATTCCTTAACCATGTTTTTAAGCACGGAAAATTGGCATTTTTAGAGATTTTCAGACACGAAATCGTTTATAAACTAAAGCACTAGAGGCAAATAACAATGGATCTGTTTTATTCAGGATGATGCGAAAAATCTCATCTGATGAAAAATTTAAATTAACGCCCAGCAATTTTTTGACTTATGTTAGGGACATCAACAAACGCGATTATGACAAAAATCCAGTCTGAAAATGTCTCCCACGAATGCGAGCTTCTCTCCTCGCATATTTAGATTTACTCCATTGCATTATAATGCAACAACTGACGAACCCAAGAACTAAATCTATGGTAAATGAGAGACTCGGTTTTGTTATTTAACTAAAGGAAAAACCCAAAAACAAAAATAATCTCCAACTGAAAAATGAGATAAAATCACTAAACTAAAAGTACGTTTGCATGTTATAAAGTACAGTAAACTAAAATGATTAAACTTCTGTGAAAAAAATGTGGAGAAAGAAGTATTGTTTGAAATGTGAAGTACGGGGGGAGGTAGATATGTAACCTTGGTAGTATAAGCGAAATTTTTCTTTTTCCTAAATATGGAAAATTATCGTTTTTTATTAATTATAGCCAACCGTAAATAAAATAAATAACAACTTGAAATTGGGTTGTTCTAATCTTGTTACTTTAGAGGATGTATTTCCTTACGTTTCAATAGTATTTGTTCCATTATTAATTGCACTGAGATGTCGTGTAACCAATCTTAAACATCTACACATTGCACAATATTATTGTAGCATAACTTAAATAAATCACAATTGTTATTTCGCTAATTCCTAAAAATAGCAATTTTATCAGAATTACTACCAAGGTAACCACATTTCTCTGTCACTATAGAAATATTACAAAATTTTCTGTTACGCCTTCCCTGGTTGACATTAAATATTACATAACAATGAAATTGAACCATCATCTGCAAATTTCTTGTTCAAGGTTTGAAAATCACATGAGTTTGGAATCACCGCTGAAATTAAGAAAGAAAGAAATTTTGCATCAAATGAATAGTGAGTACTTTTCTTCAATTCCTTTTTTAGTACGTAGTAGTTTATGAAAAGGAACTCCCAACTTTATACATACTGTATAAACTCAAATCAATAATAAATGGTATGCCTAAACCAAGAAGACTAGAAATAGGAGGGCAAACCCATAAAGTGAGGATAAAGCCAAAAGGGTCGGAATAAAGGCAAGCGGACAGCCATTGCGTCAAAAATGTGTTTTAGATTCTGGACACTATCATCTCTTTCATGTCTGCATTTTTATGTTGCTTTCTTCATGCACGTAAAACCTAAAAACTCTAGTTTTTACAGCTCAGACGAGTTGCAAGCAGAAATGTTGGTCAATATTCACGCGAATGAAAGGTAAAACATTGGGAATCAGGATTTTTCAATGTACTTAAACCATTAGATACATTAGGTAAATTGATCAAAATAGAGCATGCGGTTACGTTAACATTTTCCACGTGTATACATGCGCAGAAGCTCTAATTACACTACATTTCTGAGCGCCCCGCCCTACTAGCTGACAATATTTGCTTCATACGAATACGTGTCTTCCCTTCTGTTCCCGGTCTTCTTGACCTTATTTGTACCTCACTATAGTGACAAGAGCATAACCTCTTCCCTAAACCCTCCATAGAGTGACAGACAGCTTCCACAACGATACACAAGGCGTTTTTAACACCCCGCCGTAATACTAATATTGTGTGTGTAGGCACTGAAGTGAGATGGGTGTGGGGGATCTGAATATGCTCGACGAAGATCACAGAACCACCAAAGGTGGTTGTGGTCTGTCATTCAAGTCCGCCACGCGCTAATCTTTTACTAGCCGGTAGATGTGATGCTGCGCGCCGTGTTCCGACGTCGACACTTCGAAGACGTACGCCGTGCACAGTAGGGTCTCTTGGGTGTCTCGGTTGCTCACCACCTGAAAAGAAAATTATATCATTTCATACGCCATCATCGCTATATAATGCATTCAACCTTATTTATTCCGTGTCAAAACAAACATCGCTGCTTATATTCGCTTGCCGCTACCGCTTAGGCATTTCTAACCCGCACAATAGGAGCCCGCGTATTTAAACATCGCGCGGTGTTTATTTTGACCAGGACTTGAGGTATGAATATAGCAAAAGCCTAAACACCAGGGCAACGAAGCTGCTATAAGGAGCTTAAAGGCACCTTGTTGATCCAATTTTTCAATGCCAAGGTTACTAGAACTGGGTAAACCTCCTCAGGCAGATTGTTCCACAATCCGACATCCTAGGGACAAAGGAGCGGTCATACGAATACATGTAAGTACGAAGTTATCGATCAGTCGGACAACCGCCCCCTGAACATCATCGATCATGGATAATATAGTCAGAGGCTAGGTCTTATCTGTGCCTTGTACCGAGTGAGAAGGTGATGTGAAGAAATATACTTCTTAACCCTAATCAAATAGCCCAGCTTTTTCCCATCAGCAACCTTTATTGTCGGGATGTGTTCGTGCCAGATCAAGTCCTCGGTTTTCTGGACTCCGACCAGCCGAGCCGAGCTCTTTGAAAGAACTCGGGTATCCATCGAAAGGGATCAGCTGTAGGGTACTTCTTCTTAATCAAGGTACAGAACTGTATTTTGGAAGCGTTAAACTGTACCAGATTGTTGGGTCTCCAAGCAGATCTCTCCTAAGAGAAGTCGCTACTAGTCTTCTCTTCAGCTCATGGACAGAGATCGGCTTGGTACTTTAAAAGGACCACTTCTTTTTATTTTATACATAAATGATTTACCTGCCATAGTCAAAAAATGCAAAATTCAGATTTTCGCCGATGACACTATGATTTATATAAGTACTAAAAATATTCAGTCTGGTATCTCTTATATAAATGAAGACTTGAAACTTGTCTCAAAATAGTTAGCATAGATGCTAACTATTTTGTTAGAACAGACTAAAATTAAATACAAGTAAAACGAAAGCCTTGTTAATCGGAAAAAAACAATGTGCAAATGTTCAACTGAATATTGATGGTGAAGATATTGAATTCGTAGAAAATTTTAAATACCTGGGGGTTTTTGTTGACTCTCGATTAATTTTTGATATTCATTATGAAAAAGTTATAAATAAGATTAGTAGTAAAGTGGGATATTTATCGAGAGTTTCTGGATGTCTGAGTTCATATAGCAAAAAAATTATCTATAATACCATCATTCTTCCAAATTTCTTGTACTGTTCGACTATTCTATATTTAGCAAATAATTCCATTTTTGAAAGACTGCAAATTTTACAAAATAAGTGCATGAGAATAATACTAAATAAAGATAAATATACTCCAATTAGGCAAATGCTTAGCAAATTAAAATGGCTCAATGTAAAAAATTTTATCAAATATCTTGTAATGATATTCATTTATAAAGTAAAAAATCAAGTCTAACTAATTTAACATCATCAAATGTCGACCATCATTTACATAATACCAGAAATAAAGATGACTTCCATTTAATGACCAAAAAGTATAACATATGCTATAAATCTGTATTCCATCAAGGGTTGATTGAATATAATAAATTATACTCGGAGATAAAAGACCAGAAAACTTTAACAAAATTTAAAGTAAAATTGAGAAATCACTTGTAAAATCTACAATTATAGGTTGCCCAGCATTTACATCATACACCATATGGCTTGAATTTACTAGTTCTAAGTTGTTTACAATTATTCTGTTTATGTAGCCAAATGTGCTAAATAAATATTTCTACTACTACTACTACTACTAAATTCCTGAATGTCACCAGCAAAGCTCTGGATCAGATTGGCCGAAAAAGCAAGGAGGTCGTTGAGATGTAGTAGACACAATGTTGATGTCCGATCGCTGGAGAACACCCGCGTTGATATTGTGGGATGAAGAGGAAAAAATTACGACGGATATCATGTAGCCAGAGAGGAATCCAGGCACGCTCCCACAAAGTTTTTCAGGGAGGCCGTAGGATGGAAGTTCGCATAAGAGGGCAGCAATGCCACAGCTGATTGATAGCTTTCGTGATATCAAGAGCAACGTGATGGGTGATTTTTTTTGTATATATATAGAAACAGCCGCGCAGGCAGAAGCCTAAATGCCGGAACACCGCGGCTGCTATGATGATCCCAAAGAAATTTTGTAGAACTGGGAAAAGCTTCCTCTTGTAGATTGTTCCACAATCTCGGGACAAAGGAACGGTCGTATCGGCTATGACGTGTGAGGTAGCCCAGAAGCTCGCGATTTATACACCTCGTCATCACCTTACTTATAACAGAAAGCAGAGCTATAGGCCTGTAGTTGTAAGGATCGATCTTAGATCCTTTTTTGGGGATGGGTTGGACATGAGCAAATTTCCAATTGTCTGGGAAGGTGCCGGATTCATAAGATATCTGGAGGAGACGCGAAAGAACTGGAGCAAGCTCCGCTGCACACCTCTTCAGTACAATGGCAGGGATCAAGTCCGGACCAAAAACTTTGTTGATGTCGAGCGACAAGAGCACTCGCCTTACTACGGTCATATGCCTAAATGTTACATCCCGCATAGTGTAGGAAACCCTTTGAATTGACGGCACTTGGGCGTTGGGGAGGACGTCCATGGTGGAGTTGGCAGCAAAGGTGTTAGCGAGCACTTCCGCCTTGGCCTTTATGTCGGATACAATCGTTCCATCCTGACAGGTAAGTAGTGGATGTCTAACTGTGTGAGAAGTTCTTTTCAATCTGCTTGGCCAGCGTCCAGTGCCTAAGTTCTATATCGTGCTGGTTTTTGGCATTGCGAACCGCTTCGTTATATATGTTTCTGGACTCGACGTCGGATTGTCTGTTCTACGTGGGGTTTCGTAAGAAGGTTCTGTTTTACGCACTTTCACTGTGTGAGGTATCTATTCCTCTATTCTGTCGTGGATATTTTCGGTTATCGAAGAACAGACAGCCGACGCATCCAGCGAAATAGATATCTCTCCAAGGAAATGTAGAGAAGTCTCTGAGCCCCTCACAGTCGGCATGTCCGTAATGTCAAGTTTTGCGGCCTGTACGAGTTTCTGCTGCCGCAGCACGTTCTGACCTCCACAACACCGTGGTCTGAGTTACCCAGAGGAGACAGGATAGCAGTGCTGTAAGGGACAGGATGCGTGATCAGAAAGAGATCCAGCAGGCTACGAGACGCGGGTAGGGCTCGTCACCAGCTGGGTCAGTCCTTGAGTAAGAGAGAACGCTTCGACTGCACGACCTGCTGCATCGATCTTGTTTGAGCCCAACCAAAGCTCATTATGGGCATTAAAATCACCAAGAAGAACTACCTCTTAAGTGGGGTGATTGATGTTCAGGAAGTCGATCTTGACGGCGAGGTATTCAAGTAGTTCATCCCAGTTATGGTCCGAGAGAGAACGATAAAGGCAGCAAATGAATTTGGGTGATGTTTTGGAATTGAGGCGAAGCCGCAGAATGTCCTTCCGGTCTGATTCCAATGAAACATTTCTGGAGCAGGAAAGACTGCTGCGGACAAAAGCCACAACTCCCCCCGTTCTTTCTCAGACTGGAGTGCACCTCGTAATTTGGGAAGTTAAGATGGTTAATCGTTACAGACTCTTAGATTTTTGTCTCCGCCAAGAAAAGCATGGCGGGACGATCGGATTGCAGGTAGTGATGAACATCATCAATGTTTCTGTTAATCCCGCAGATGTTCCTAAAACAAATTATATTTTCGATGTTGTTCCCTCGAGCCTACCCTCCACCCGGACATTCCGAATAAAGTTTATGTCCGCTCGTCTTGAAAAAACACAGCAACTGTATATTCAGTTCCTTTGTATATTCGCTTAAAGTATACCAAATTCATTTTCGACGATGATTAAGAATTACCAGGGGTGCGGTTTTAGCACCTTTCCTCAGATGTACGTAAGGGTGTACTTTTTTTAATGATAATCTCAAATTACAATTTATGAAAGTAAATACTGTAATTATAATGATTAATTTGGTGAAGCTAGTGTTGCACTGCTGTATATTTTATATTTTTTTTAAACTAGTATAAGGGTAATGTATCCATGTTCTTTTGGTGTGTATTTTGAACTAGTTTTGAAAATTGACCATAACAGCACGGAAAAGGACAAATAACTGAAAAAAAATCTTCATCGACAGCACATGATACAAACTGACAGTCGTTTATGTCTTTTTTGGGGCAAATTAAGTAGTATTTCAAACACGAAAACAGCATCAGGTTCATTAAGTGCCAACGGCAAAAGTAAACGTACACTTTCAGAACGCACTTCTTCACGTATTCTTTTAGATCAATTATAGAATGGGGGTCCGGTTTCAGGCATTCTCCTTATATTGTATAAAAAAAGTTGATAACAATGTTGAGGTAATGGTTTTACCTTCGTGGTTGTATAAAGTAATTTATCGTACTCTGTCTTACCTGTAGTATAGTGAAGTTCTCCAAGACACTGTTCATCATATACTTCTCGGGCAGATGTTTGAGTTTGTGAATGAAGTTGATCATATACTCGCACATGGGACTTCGATGAATCCTATAAACGAACCTGCCATTCTCGTACCTCGCGTACTCGGTCTCTACTTTTTCCACCACTTGCTTGCCAAAGGAACACACCTTAGTCGAACAGGTTATCGTCATGTTCTCGTTGCTTTCGTACCTTGAATAAAATAATGGTTGAGAAACTTGGTTACAGTTGTCATTTTGGTATAGTCGAATCCTCAGCAGCTTTGAGTTCCGAAAAATGAATGATAGACTGAATTTAACATAGCAGTTAACACTACTAAAAACAAAATCATCCTTTCTAAAAATATTACAGTTTGAATACTAAAATATTCTATTTAAAAACTAAAAATGCTTCTTTAATGGTGAGTAGGCCACATCTACTATACCGCCAGAAACGAACTGTCTACAGTTCCAAGCATAGCTCTATACACTCACGCAGTAGCCGATTCTGGTAATAGATGGCGCTTTGCGCTGTCTTATTTCGGAATATTCTTTTTTATATCTTAAAAAGTAAGGATTTTTTCTAAATTTTGTATTAACTGAATGAAAGATCAGAAAATTACTGTATTTTACAATGACTATCGCAGTTCATTAGATTTTGTGCGATGGTCCTGGAAATGTTTGCATATGGTTTGGCAGTTGTGCTACTTCGCGTCACGCTAAAAAAAGTGACGGACAAATTTGTCATATTTTGGTGGAAAATTAAAATATCGGCATAAAAAAGCAACTCACGCTGAAATGATCCTACTTCCATCGTACTGCTAACATTTTTATGCGCTGTTCTAGTTTAATTCGTAAAATCAGTTTTCCAGTTCGCATCATTTTAATTTTAAATATTTCTGGAAAATTGCAATGTCTTTGTTATATAATGGATAAAATAAATAATCCCCATAAATCATCGAACAATTGTATCAAAACATTTGAGACTATCCGCGCAGGCCACAATTATCTGAGAAAAACCGAAACTCGAGAAGAAATGTAGGTCTTGTAGTTTGACAATTTACATACAAAATAAACTGGTTAAAAATACTATGAGACACTTTAACCATTCCAAAAAGCTGACACGTCAGCATAAGAAGGCATAAGATGATGTCAGTGGCATTCTCATCTGCTTTCGTTCTGTTGATGAATATTTCTGAAAATTCCCACATTTCTCAAAACATTTTTACATTTAAACGGTTATATTGTTAGAACATCAACTGTTTATCGTGGGTTGAGGACCACTTTTTGTCTCTATTACTATTAACCATTATCATGCCAAATGTCACCTTCTAATAAGAAGGTGACATTTGGTAATAACTTTTTCTAAGGATCTAAAAAAACGAGTGCTGTATGCTGTATGTACCCTTAGCCGTCACCTCTTTCAAGATACGCGTTTCTTGTAGAATAAAAAATATACTCACGAGCTAGTAACACCATAGAAAGCTCCCTGTTCGTCCTGTATGTTTGAGTTGAGATCCGCCCAGAACTTAACAAGGAAGAAGGCGTTTTGTGGTCCTTTATCATAGAGCTCCTTCAGACCGCCTTTCTTTTCAGGGAATTTGTCGTAGATTTGCCGTACGTCAACGGCTTCCAGGAGGGGGTCAGTGTAGGACAGCGCCGGGCCGCCTATATGAACGAATAGGTGTTTCTGATACTGAAAAAAAAACAAGTTCATTATTTGATGTGTGAATTTTTAAAGGCCCACTTCAATTTTCTTCGACCTTGATCCTCCAAAAAACTTCGAGTGAACGAAACTTGGTACACACTCGGGAAATTTGGGACTTTTTTATACGAAAGCAGTAGTAGAAACCTAAATACCGTGGCACCGCGACTGCTATCGCCTTGTTAACCCGGTCTCAGATTAGCAGAACTGAAAAAACTTCTTCATGCAGACTGTTCCACAATCTCGACCCCTAGGAACGAAGGAGCGGTGGTACTGGCCAGTATGTGAGAAGTTCTAAAGAGTTGGCGGGTTCGTCTGACAGGCGAACCCCAAATAATGTGAGCAGTACTCAAGGCTAGGCCTTGTACAGAGCGAGAAGGTTGTGCAGAAAATAGTACTTCTTAGCCCTCAACAAAAAAACCTAGCTTTTGTTGGCAGCGGTTGGGATTGATGAGATGAGATGTGTTCATGCCAAATCAAGTCCTCAGTGATTTGGACTCCAAACAGCGGAAATAAATAGCTGTTTGCCAGAACTCATCCATCAAAACGGGATGAACGCTGGGGCGCGTCTTGTTAGACAAGACTGTACTGTGTTTTGGAAGCATAAAACTGTACCCATACTATTGCGTCCCCAAGCGGTACTCCACAGTTGCGTTACGTAAGCTAGGAGGCCCCCCGTGGATCGCTGGTGCCAGAAACCATAATGCCCGCAACGCAGAGCTATAGGTCTATAGTTGTTAGGGTCGATCTTAGACCGTTTTTTGGGACCAAATTGTTGTTCAACCCCTCTTACGGCCTAACCGTTACTTCCTGCATAGTGTAGGGAGCCCTTAGGATAGGCGGCTCACAAGCGTTGGGGGGACGTCCATGATGGAGTTGACAGCAAAGATCTTGGTCAGATTTTACGCCTTAGCCTTGGAATCACTTACAACCATCCAATCCTGACAGGTAAACGGAGGAAGGCTACTATTTGAGAAATTCCCTCCGATGCTCTTTGCTCTTGGCTGGGGTCTAGAAAGACTTTCATTACGCTGCGTAGCGTAGTGGTGGTCTTATCATTTTTGAACATTCGACCATAATTTCGACAATGTACAATTTTGATTAATCACATTAAATTCAATTTGTTTATTTCCTTCCAAACATCCATATGTCATCAGAGAACCAGTCACTTAATTCGGCTTGGGTATATGTTAGAAGTTAATATTCTACTTTAACATAGCCAACCTAATACTATATTCCCAAGCCTAAAAAATTATCCGAGATGAAATGAGAAACGGAAGCGTCAGCTATGAGAATTTGTCACAGCTACGTTTCTTCTCTCTCTCAGCACTAATTAGAAATCTATTTTGACAAGTTTAGTGTCCACCTTTGATGAAGCGTTTTCAATGAAAAATTATGTTAAATAATGCACTTACTAGGTTTTGGACCGACCGATTCAATTCTTTCTTTATCTATTATTGCAAATAGTGAAAACGTATTGCTTCTTAAAAAGATGAACAAACATTTTTGGATCACTTACAGCTTCCTCCCTGTTTTGTGACTCCATGAAGGCGGAGAACTCGACCAGCCTGAGTTTGTGGGTGGCGATAGCTCTCCCTTCCCACACCGGTGGTGGTGCAGCTTGGAGCGGTCCTACTTCACCTGCAGATACGGCTGTTGCAGGTTTGCCTGTTGGGTACGGAGATTGGGCGAATGGTTTCACACTGGAAAAAATTTCAAATTTTAATTTTAAGTAAGAAAACCAATTTGAACAGATTTCAAATTCAAAATATTTATTTCGTCATGAATAAACATCATAAACAAAGCAAATTCTACAATATAGAGCTATGACGAAAAAGGACAGTCTCACGATTATCAAAACGGATACATTGGACCCTTTAATACAAAGAGTCCATGCGAGAACACCCTAAAAATCCTTAAACAAAATAAAAAAAATACAGTAAAAACAATAAAGAGGCAAATGAAAAGGCGGTGAAACACAAAAAGGCAAGACGAAGAAAGATTTAAAATAGAAGAGTTTATTTAGCTTTTATCGCTCACAATCAATTAGAAAATCGTGGATTCCCTCAAGTTATTTTGTTAAATATGGCGAATGCTCTTATTCTTCAAAAGTTTCTGAATTTAGAAAAAGTATGAGGAATATTTTTAAAAAGCGTAAAAAATAAAATGAAATAAAAATAGACTGAGTGTTGATAAAGTACCTAGCCCAACCTCTAGCGGTGAATTCTCAGCATTATAAGACAAAAGTTCATGATAATGCTCGTTTTCAAAATAAACCTTTTTAAAAATTTGTCTTTTACCTAGAAAATTGCCATTAGACCATTATGAACATTTGTAAAATTGATAACAATTCTGTTATGATCACTTCAAAGTGGTGGCGCTTCCAGTTGGAGATATCAACATGCTTACATTAAACAGGATATTATTTATTTTTTTGATTCTATGTAAGATTCTGAACATAAATAATGTACGAGGGCAGTCACATCAGTACTTAGTCTACAAAAGAAAAACGAAAATTTTGGAAAAGTGACAATTTATTTCTCAACATAGTCTCCCTTTTAGCTCAATACCCTTGACCCAGCTATGCTCTAACTTTAACCCATCTGAAAAATACGTTTTCTGGAGGTATGCAAAGTAGGCATTCGTGATTAACTCCTCATTCGACCCAAATTTCTGCCCAGCGAGTTACTTTTTCTAAGTTTGGAAACAAAAAGAAGTCGCACAGGGCCATATATGGAGAATACGGTAGATGGGGCAGCAGTCCGTAGCCTAATATTCGATCAATTTAGCCGTGGAGACGGCGGTGGTGTGAGTCGGTGCGTTGTCATGGTGGAAGAGCACTTTTTCTTGGTCAAACGGGTCAGTTTTTTCTGCAATTCGGCGTCGAATCGGCCCAATAATTCGGCATATCAAAGCCCTGTGACCGTTTTGCCCTTCTCCAGGTATTCGAGGTAAATCACCCCTTTTGAGTCCCAGAAAACGGTGGCCATCACCTTTCCGGCCGACAGGACCGTCTTCGCCTTCTTCGAAGCACGTTAGCCGGGTGAAATCCACTGTTTCGAGTGTTCCGTGGGGTCTGGTGTATTCCAGTGTATCCATGTTCCTTTCACGGTGACGAAACGACGCAAAGTCTTTCAGACTGCGCTTAAACAGCGTCAAACACTGCTCTGAAGTGGTCTAACGGTTAAGTTTGTTGTCCACAAACGCGGCACCCTTCGCGCAGTTAGTTTTCTCATGCCCAATATTTCAAGCAGGATATGACCCACGTGGTCTTTTGAGATGCCGACTGTGTCAGCTATCTCGCGCACCTTCTTTCCTCCCAGTTATCCTCCGTGGTATCCATTTTCGGGGCACCTGGGCGTGGCCCATCAAAAACCGACGGGCGACCACGTTGAAACGCGTTAAACCAATCCAAGCGCTCTTTGATTTCGCTGCGCGATCTCTCTTCCAAAAACAAGGATCAAATGAATCACCGACCGATATTGCACTTTCTCCATTTTTTTCTTAAAATCAGCGAATACGCCCGCTTCCACAGTAGCCGTCTACGAGTATGTGCTGTACGATAGTAAATTTGCTAAGTAATTTTTCGGAGCGCCCTCGTATAACATTCTATCCAGGGCTTGTATTACGCATCACGTTTGCTCGCTATAGTCGCTGGTCGCTCCTCTATAAACTAATCCAAAAGGGTTTTCCTTTTTGGCTTCTAAAATTACTAGAATCCTTTCTTGAAGGAAGGAAGTTTCGGATCAAAATTAACAATGTTTTGTCAACATCACGGCCAGTACGGGCCGGAGTTCCTCAGGGTTCGGTCCTAGGACCAATTCTTTATTCGCTTTTCATCCATGACGTCCCTTCCCCCAGCAACTGTGAAGTCTACCTCTATGCTGACGACACTGCACTTGTCGCCCAGTCGTGTACTGGTGATCTGGTTCACGATGGGTTGCAGAATGCGGTGGACGAAGTTCTAGAGTGGGCGGAACGGTGGCTGATAAAAATTAATCATTCGAAAACGCAGGCTATTTATTGTACCAAAAAACGTCGCGGCCCCCCAGCAGAGGTTTCTGTAGACGGAAATCGTGTACCATGGACAAATTCTGCCAAGTATCTCGGTGTCACCCTTGATAAAGGCATGACCTGGCAGAAACATACAGCATCCATAAAAACAAAATTCCAAATTGCGTTTCGGAAACTATATACTTTGTTATGTAGATCGTCCAAATTGAGTTTGATAAAAAAAGTTCGACTATATAAAATGATTAGTAGACCAGCCATTACTTATGCATGTGCGGCTTGGTGTTTCCTTGCCAAGACACACATGCAAAGTCTTCAAGTACTGCAAAGCAGAACTTTGCGGACAATTTGCAACGCTGCATGGTATGTCTCAAATGAGACACTACACAGAGACCTTGACATTCCTTACTTGAGGGATTATGTCAAGCTTCAGGCGCAGCGACGGTATAGTCAAGTGGAATCGCACAGCAACCCTCTGTTGCGTGACTCAGTGGACTATACAGTGGAGCAAGTTCGTAAACATTCAAGGCCACGGCTCGCACTGTAATCAAAAGTTATCGTGAATCTTTAGTAAACTCAAAATTACACTCTAACAAAACCGAATCAAAAAATTTGTTTAGTTCACCTCAAAATTAATCCGTGTACCAAGTCAAAAAGCCTAGGTGTTTCCTCTTAAACTAAGCATATCTGTTTTTCTATGTTCTTCTCCTTTTTTCTTCTCTTTCCCTTTCTCTTTTTCCTTGACTTTGTCTGGTTTCTGGGCAACCAGGACTGACAGATTCGACTAACGTACATCAGACAGTGACTAATGGACAAAGGTCCTACGGACCGCCCAGACAAATAAATGACGAATAGTAGTCGCTGGTCGCTGACGTTTACGCAACACGTACAGCTACACAACAACAGTACATCTTATAGAAAAACTTACGTTATGTCATAAAAACCTCCGAAATGTCTAAAAACCGACGAAATGTCACTTTTCAAGATATGTAATACCCGTGCCGAAGTCTAACCATTCTTTGATATCTCGATCTTTATTTGAAACCATTTCCTCAAATGTGTCTAAACCTTTTCATCTCTTTTATCGTGTTTTGACTTAGGGATATAGGATTTTCGCCGATACCGATAATCGGCTGATAAAATCAGTCGATCCCTAGTTTAGATTGAGCTTAAAATATGCCATGCAAGTACTACTGATATTTCACCAACTTACTCTTGAGAAGTTCCAGGCTGCAATCCGGGTTGCCAGAATTGCTGAAACACAGAGACACAACATTTTAAAAGAAATGCCTAGTATTTTATTGATGCAACCTAGATATGAGACAAATGATCAACACAAAAATTGCACCATTCATACGTTTCTGTTGTGGTTATGGAAGCTAAAAATTCAGCATTAATATTGCGATACATACGAGTACATACAGTATAGCAGCAACACACAGCAAGTAAGCCCATTTTTTGTTAGAACACTTGTTAAATAAACCTTCGTTAGGCTTTTATTAAGCTCCTGGGCCGCATTGAGACTTCAAACATAAGCATATCATAGGTATAGTTACATTCAAGAGAAAATGAGATTTTATTTAAATATATCCAAATACAATCTTTATTGTTTTCGACATATATTTTTGCACACATAGAGCTTTTTAAACATATAGAAAACGTTTTCAAACAAATAATACTGAATCCCTGACTGTAAAATAACGTATAAGCCAACGAAACTGCAAAAATTGGGAGAAAGAGTATGACGGGAAACTGCGATCTGAAAGTCATTATGTCTGAATTAGCAAATCTTTAGGTTGACTTTGGTCTACAATAAATGACAAATAGTACAATATCTTTTATGTTACTATAAAATTTGAAGGGGATGTTAAAAGCAAAAATGAAGCTCAAAATGGTTACCAAATGATGTAACAAAGGTACTCCTATACCTTGGAACGTAAAATTAAAAAATTCTATTGAACCAAACTGAACGGCATATATTTGGCATTAAAGCAATTTCAATAACAGAGAAAAACGAAATTAGGAGTACCCTTGTCTACTTTACTGTCTAGTCGGATTCAGGTCGTTTGAGATGGATAACTTGTTGACTTTTATCCAAAAAGGAAATTTGTTCTGTTCAGATTAATAATAATAATGGTGAAGTCATTATAGGACAAAATCTTAATATTCAAAAGGAATCACACACTAGAGAGGTTTGTTAATTTTCTAATCGCTCAACAATATGTCAAAAATTCCATTACTTTCCACGTCATCACAAGTTGAATAAGAATCACTCGTGGGAGTTTTAAAGTCATTAGTTATGCTTTTCACTTTATGAGCGGCGTTTTTCAGTTCAAAGATTTCATCTTTCCTGAAATAACTTTCTGGAAATTATCAAATCTCCTACAGATGACATCCTGAACAGGCACAAATATCCATTGAATCAAGAAAATTTGCATCCTGAAATAAGTGGCTTTTCCGAAGCACTGGGCTAAAATTCAGAGGGTGACTCCTGGACTATTTAAAAAGAAGCTTTTGCTTTGGCGATTTTCGAAAAGCCTATTCATTTCCAAGTTACAGGGCGATCATTTCTCAGATTCATCAGAAACATTACACGTTAAGCTTATTAATGTACGGAACCTCTAGATAGAATGCAAAACTTTACTTTTCTTCCAAATACCTAAACTATGGTGTTTCACTCAGGTGCGACATATCCAAAGATCTCAGTATGTCTCTGTTAAACACTCAAGAGCAACCATACTGATGTTCCTTGCAGATTGAAGTGCCTTATTTCTTATTTTACATGGAACAGAAAATTAGGCAGCCTGTCTCATAAAAGTGTTATTACGTGAAAAAGCCAAAGAATCACCCCTTGAATGTTTGCCCCTTGTTCACGAAAATGCTGTACAGTGAGTAGCATTGATGTCCAGCATAGCATAGCGTATTATGTTCCTAGCGAGTGCTTGATCATAAGACTGTCCACCCACTTACCGTCCCAGTATAGGAAACGGCTGGTGCAGTGTGTGATGGAGGGCCCAGGTTGAGACCCATTCCAATGGCGGTCTTGCTGTGCATTGCTGATGCTGAAACGATCTGAGCAGATGACATGCTCGACATGGTCTGCAGGGCCTTCTCTTTCGCCACATGGTCCTGACATGACACCGTCACATACAATAACAGTCAATCAATCAAGCGCCCACCAACACCGGAAGTGTCAAAGAGTCACACTAAGACCATCACCAAAAAACTTAAGAACTTACTAATTAAATACCCAATATCTAGAAACGATAAAAAAAAGTGGTACGCCTTTGAGCTATCTTTTCAAAATGAGACGTAAAAACCCAGTAGAAAATGTTTGTCCTCGTATTTTTATGTAGGTATTCACATTTCACATACTTGCTTTTGAAAATATGCAAAAGTCATGATTATTTTACTGGAGACCTACTAAATATTCAAGAGGTATATTTTCGAGACCGTGGATTCTTAAGGTGTTTCCAGAGCGAAAACCGGTGGTAAAGTTTCGTCTCGTCCTGACCGCCGGCGCCGGGCGAACAATTCCACGTCACACGTCTAGTACAGTGAAATCGGACTGTACCTAGACCGCGCTCATCTTCCTTAGCGATCGCCGGAATACAATAGAAACTGAATTTACCAATTTTCTTAAATATATTTCAAATGATTTGCATCCAATTCTCCACTAACATTTTATTTCTGCTTAATATAACTTTTACACGGTCAGTTTTTTTAATATTTCTATAATTGATTTCCTTTATTATCAAATACCCATCCAAATGTTTCAAAAAATGTATGATCATATTTCAATGTCTCTCAAGCTTCATATGATCAGCTTTTCAAAAGTTTCTTTAAATTAATCAAATATGCAGACGCAAGTACCTCCGTGGTATATTTTTATCACCAAGGAACCTATTACTTAATCTGTAATATTGTGTAACAAGGATTCGGCTGTCATCAAATCTTGCCGGTTTTTGGCCGGCATTTTCAATCAATCAATCGTTGATTTACTAACATTCTTATGATTTCATGACGTGCATCTTGCACTCTATTGCATCAATGCTTAAGGGGACAACCTTTGAATATCACTAAACGTAAATTAATACTTTAGAGTAGACAATCCAACAAATTATGTAATTAAAAATTAATTTTCGATTCAAGTATCAAATAACGCCGCGCCGTTCGAAAATGCAAATCACAACATAGGTGTGGACAATGCTAATTTATCTATAGCATTTACTATGTTGACAACCTAATATGATCATATGGAGCTTCCTGGATTATCCATGGACGTTTGCAATATTTTGGTATTTGTATACGTTTTAGAATTACCACCAAAAAACTGATATTTTGGATCAAGATAAAAGGTCAGTACAGACGCTAAAGCACATCTAAGGGCCCAACATTATATATATATATATATATATATATATATAGGTGAAAAATTAAAGCTTCCGCCTTTTGTTGGGTACTTCGACAAAAATTTAAGCAAAGAGGACTCTTTATACTTTTTTTTATTCTCTCTAACTTTCAATGGACTTTGCTATCATCATCAGGAGCTGCAATTACATTGATAACAGTAGCAACAATAGTGTAAAATAAATTTAAATTGACTTAACTTACAGTGGTATGTGAGCATGTTGCTAATTGTTGTTTACGTTCAGGATGAGGGAAACACCCAGTAACATGGTGAAAGCTGGATAGATGGTACAATGGTCAAAATTATATAAAATACACACAATTGTGTGACAAGAACAAGTTAAAAACAGATTAAAAAATTTTTAGAACATGAAAGCATTACATCGTGAAGCCACTTGAGATTATTGCACAAAATGGTGGTCATGGAATAATGAGTGAGATGAACCCTTTGACTGAAGGCCGAAGATTGTCAATGTCTGTGTAGAAAGATGGAACGAATTGTGGGCGTGTGCCACGTTGCCAAATCACTTCAGATGATGTGATTTTCAGAATGTTATGTAAGAAATGGTTAAACCGACCAGATATATATATATATATATATATATATATATATCTCAAAAATTTACTAAAGATGAGTCTTCAAAAATATAAAATAAGTAGTAATGATTTAAAACGTAATATCAAAATGTAATATCTTGAATCTAGTTTTTCGCAATTAACACTTCCACACTGAATAGACGTAGCGAAAAAAAAAACAGCAATTTTTGTTTTCGAAAATTATCGACATTGGTGATAAGTAAAATATGGGACCTAAGATTTTTTACACTCTAAACCTAAAGTGATCCCAAAGTTGAAAATCATCGAAATTCCATATTTTTTTCAAAAATGTTGACTCCTGTAAAAGTGAAAGATTAATATACAGTGTTTTTCGAGTCCGCTATTTTGAATTAGAGTAAATTTATGCTATAGGGTTATAAAGTACTGACAAGGTGCTTCAAAATGAGATGACCCCCCATTCTCTTTAAAAAAGTTATTTAGGACGGCGGCCAAATCTTGAAATTTTCAACTACTACTTTCACATTAAAATAGTGTGTATGCATCAATTTCAGCTCACTTAATTGACCCACAGGGGTATCGGTAAAATGTGAACCAGGTAACCGCTAGTGTTTATACATGACAATAAATTATTTTTGGAAAATGGGTACGATTTTTCTTTATTTTTCACATCATGCACGGTGATAAGATACTGTCCCCTTAAAACCATTCACTTGACACTTACCAGCTGAGAGAGATAAAGATCGGTCAGAAGTGAGCGAAAACAAAGAGAGAAACTAATTTTCCGCTCTGATAACAACATCAACCAACACAATCCGCTGGGCCGCGTAATATATAACAAATTATTTTAAATTAATACCATTAGAAAGACAAAAATAATACCTATACGCTTTAAATGAACTGTTATAGATAGTAAATTATGTACACCTAGATAAACACTGAACAATCTTGTCTGAAATTGAGTGGATGGAAAGTTAAATAGGTGAACGTATATGAAGTGACAATGCTTAAAAATGGTGTCAAGTAGAATTACTCAAGATTTCCTAAGTATTCAAAAATATATCCGAAATAGTTTCAATCACCGCAAGTCAATTAATAGCATCTTGAAAATTATTTAGATCTGCTTACATAGCTGCCTATGAATTTTTGAAACAAACAAAAATATGAGAATTCAGACTTGGAACCTGTTCTTATCTCTCAGATAGTGGCTCGCCTCTCAAAAAAAGTTAAAGCCCCCTATGGTTTAAACCGTAGCACAAAATTATAGTTTTTTAGATTTTGATTTTGGTTCTCGGACATAATGGATATTCCGTAGTATATGGGATCCCGGACTAGAATGCTTTGATTGAACATGTTCTGCCAAGAAATATTCTGTTCAAACCACAACCAATGGCACGAAATTAACAAATTGTTCGATTTCAGAATGTTCATTACGTAAAATGCCAAAAAATGAGTAATTGTTTTAGAATACTCGTACATCTAATAGATATAGGTTACGGAATTTGAAAACTGGACGTTCTTGCCTTGATAAGGGAGCGTTCATTACATACGTGAAGCGTTTTTGTCGATATTCTGATTCCCCTCTTCCCCTGGAGAAATGTGAGATTTGCCTACACCCCTTCCCCCGACCCTAATCTCTCGTGAGACTATACAAAATTTATATTTTTAGAGTAAATGCGTTGAATTTATTTTAGCTTAAATTGACTTTGACTGTGCTGCCTTGCACCCTTCGTATAACTACTATCCCAAGTAATTAATATTTGATGGTTGCTTTTTGTCTAAAAGAAAAGCTCTTTTTTACTCATTATCAACTGTACAGAAAATACCACACCTTATACAAGACTCCGAAGGAGGTACCTAATTCGGCAAATCTTTCAACGCAAAGAGCCGGTTCAGTTAAAATTTCTAAATTATAAGTAGAAAACAACTATCGACAAAGAAGCAATGATACTCACTACTTTGAGTTTCGCCTGGATTTCTCTGAGTTTTCTTCTCGCCAAAACTTGTATGTGTGAACTGACTTGTTTTCGTGTCCTTGTCTTGCCTGTTCGCAGTTTGATATACCTTGCAATGAGTTCATTCCGTCCTGAAACAATGGTACCGCAATTAAAAAAAATATTTCCAAACATTTCCAATATTGAAGCTCATCAAAATCCGAGCTAGTATACTCCGAGTACATGAGTAACACGTACCTAACCTTGTGATTCTGTTGTAAATCCTCTATATAGTTTAGTTGCCAAAGTATCTGTAGATAATAATTTTTTAGTTTGCTGACTTAGCTTCACCAAACATTATGCCTCATATGTCTACATGAAAAATGTTTCTGCATTAGATTATTTTTTACCGTTGCTGTACGCATATAAATATTGAAGCTTTGGAAACATGTATCCATATTTTATTTCCCAGTACATTAAAACATTGAAAACTCATTCCCCGTAAGTTATAAATACTTCAAGAAAACGTACATAATTTATTCCAGCAAAATATTCTGAGAACCTAACCTAGTAACGTCATAAGACGAAAATACCATGGCATGTTTTATAAAATTTATTGAATGTCAGAAATGCAATCAAAATATACCGTGTCATGACGTCTCTATGTGTGCATCACAGTGCACTGTGGTTATACATAGGGTGTTCTAAAATAAAATAACAATCCTTCAGATGCATATAAAACACATAAAAATTATTCCACATGTTTCTGTAAAAAGTGTGTTGCAAGCCTCCTCTACAAAGCTGCTGGATTTCGGGTGCTGCATCAGGTGGTTCAAGATGTAATTTTAACTTTATTTCTAAATATTTTAATCCATTTTAATTTGTTCCTCACATACAGCTGTGTGTAGTTTATTTTGACGAATGTACCATGTATTCCCATTAATTAAAATATAGTTTATTCAACTGCCTCTGGTCGGTTTAACAATTTCTTACATAACATTCTAAAAATCACATCATCTGAAATGATTTGGCAACGTTTGGCACACGCTCACAATTCGTTCCATCTTTCAACACAGACATTGACAACCTTCGGCCTTCTGTCAAAGGTTCATCTCACTCATTATTCCATGACCACCATTTTGTGCAATCATGAAGTGGCTTCACGACGTAATGCTAATGTTTTTTAAATAATTTTTAATCTGTTTTTAACTTGTCTTGTCATATTTTATATAATTTTGACCATTGTACCATGTATCCAGCTCTCACCATGTTACTGGACGTTTCCCTCATCCTATACGTAAACAACAATTAGCAACATCCTCACATACTACTGTAAGTTGAGTCAATTTAAATTCATTTTACACTTTTGTTGCTACTGTTATCATTGTAATTGCAGCTCCTGATGATGATAGCAAAGTCCATTGAAAGCTAGAGAGAATTAAAAAAAGTATAAAGAGTCCTCCTTGCTTAAATTTTGTCGAAGTACCCAACAAAAGGCGGAAGCTTTAATTTTTCACCTATATATATATTCATCTCAAGGATTACGCTTTCCATAAATATCATTTCTAGTAACTTTTATACAGGATATAAAAAACTACCAATATTTCGCTGGGGCTACTTCGTCCCTAGCGGCCTCAATGTGACATCACGGTTGATTTTATGCTGTTACAATTTCGTTGAATTAAAATTTTAAAATGTCAAGAATTGTTTGAGATTTCCAGTAAAATCCTTCAGGGACCCAAGTCATTTGATTATAGGAACTTATGCGATAATCTCTTTTTGCCCAATATGTAACCGAGAGACTGCAATTTTATTGTGAAACACCCTGTACATCACGTCAACAAATGAGAATGACCCATTCACGATATCTAAAGTATTTTTAACAATGCAATCAGTGTAGGTGTACACACGTAATATGCGCATAATTCCGAACTGTATTTTCTTATCTTCGATTTTAATTGACAATTGTTCTTTTGGTGACAAACGCAGGTAAATGGCAATTGAATTTAGTTTGCGTAATTTGTTTAGATATGATTATAGGATGGATGTTCAAATTTAGTAAATAGTGAAAATAATAAATTAAAATATCAACTGGTAGATTGAAAGTTTACAATGCAATTGATCACAGAGATTCTTATTGTTACACGAGCATGCATAGTTGACTACGGGGAGACTGGAGAAGAATATGAATATCCTGAGTGGAAATGTTCAATACAATGTAGTCCGAAAATTTTTAGGGCAAATACAGCACGTAAAAATATGAAAAAAAGTATACAAACATAGGTCTGGAGCAGCATCATATGGGACCTATGATAGTTAATCTTTCATTTCTCGAAAAAAAAATTTACATATTCAGATTTAGTAGACACAAATGCCTTATCTGAGGTCACCT